ACAGAGAGCATCGCGAGCGACAAATAAAGGCACTCAGCCGTGTCATTCTCGGCGATTTCAAACAAGTAATGTTCATGCATCAGGATAAAGTACGAGCAATTCAGAAGTTAGTCGCGGAATCTGCTGCATCAGCCCAAGTGAGCGCTAAAAATAGCAGATGATATTAAGGGTCAAACACTGGCAAATTATTAGCCATATATTATTTGCTTTTTGCTTTCTTGTTTGGAAAAAATTTGGACATTACACATCATATGAGGAGGAAAACTTTAAAATTTCTTTTTTTCTTAAAATTCATGGAAAAAATGTTTGGCATATTTTCTACCATTTTGCTTTCGTCATTGTGCATTTGGTTGGAGGCTAATCCATAAAAAATATTATTTTAGAAATTTTTTTGAGTCTTATAAAAGGAATTAAAACTTATAATTCCTTTAATATTTAGGATTATAACTTATAATCCTAAATATTAAAAAGTTAAGAATCCGGAGGATTAAGAATTTTTTTAATAGGCGAATTATTATACAATCTATTGAAAAATTTTTCAGATGTTTGAAAAATTGGCTGACATATTAGGTCCAGAACATGAGGCTTTATTGGTTCATTTATCATTTATATTCCCACAGGACCTTTTGCCTGACTACATCATCGATAGCCCATTGAGAAAAGCTTACAAAGCTGCTTTTGATATGATGCTTAATATTGAAGTAATATTTTACGATTCATTTTTAGTGTAGAAAATTTGTTTTTCATTTTAGTCTTTTTATTTTTTAATATGGTATGGTAACTTTCCATGAAAATAATAATATTTGCAGATTTAATTAGCAGATTTTTTTCCGTTTGAAAGCCCTATTTTAATGAAAAGTGGAAAAATATAACATTTCCTTATTAAACAGTTGTAACAGTTATTTTTTTGAAGTTATTCCTTAGTTGCACTAATCTTTATCATGTTTTCTGGGTAGTTTTTGACGATGTATGTATTCTTCAGAATCGGTGGAAATTAATTTTTTCTTGCAGGCCTATACTAATTTTGGGAGATCGAAATGCTCTGCTCGTTCAATTTTTCGAAACATTCGTGAACTCGGTTTTATGCTATTTTCATTTTTCTTTTTCTATGAGACGTTTCTGGTTAGGCTTGCTTTGCTAGTTTGTTGGACAGATAAAATTTGTCAGGGAATCACCTGCAAATAGAATTATAGATAAATCGCGTATAAACTCGGGAAGATTTATTTCTGCCGGATGCAGAACCCAGCATTGGTGTTCCGAAATGAGAACATTTCCCCATTCTGTCTGTTCATTATTATGAAAAAATCATAAAAATAAATCATAAAAAATCATTTCATAAAATAAATAAATCATTAAAAAATAAAAAATAAAAAAATCATAAATCATAAAAAATCATAAAAATCATTTTAATTTAAGAAGTTTACAAAAATTTATTAAAAATTTTTTAATCATTATCATTACTTATTTTAATCAAATTTTCCATATTTTTATGGGTTTTATATATTTGTATGTTTTTTGTGGAAGAACTGTTTTTACTATTCTGTGAATAAACAAAAAATATCGTTGCATCGTCTTTTTAGGTTCTCTATGTTCCGCTGATGATCTGCAGATTTTACTCGAAAAATTGCTAATAAGTGAAACACCATTATTAGAAGCATTATCAACTTATTTACCTGGAGCTACTGATAGAACAATGTATTTTTTCCAAAATTTCCTTTTTGCAAAAATTTGCAGTTCCAATTTTTTAAAAAAAAATTTTTTATAAATATTTGGGCTGTTAAATACTAATATAATGAGTAACCGTAAATCGACGTTTTATATAAAAATTAATCTCAGACCTAAACCAGTGGAATACGAATTTTTGGATGCTGAACAGTGGAAAGATACGGATGCGGCATATGAAAGTATCGATGCAATACCTGGAACATTACAAGATAAGCACAAACGTCGAGCTGCAACAGTAATCAGCGATGGCACATTGCTAGTCGAAAAGCAGTTCGTTCATTTTGTAGATTTTATTTGCGATAATACTTTATTGCATTGTTTTATAAGAAACTGGTGGAAATTAAGTTTTTAAATAATGAATTTTAAATTAAAATTCGAGTTCAACTGCTTTAAAGAGCTTTAATTTTTTGAAGGTTTTTTAAGGCACTAGAGGTCAAAAATGCTTTTTTTACAGAATTTTATATTATTTTATTTCAACTAAAAAATTCAAAGAAAGTAACCACATGACAATTCTTCAGAGGGAAATTGTGGGAAATTAAAACTCAGCTGTCAAAAAACGATTTTTCACTGAAACAAACAGATTACGAGATATTTAATCCACCGCGATTAATAACAACTTCGAAAAGAATGCGTAAAGCAAGTAAAAGAAAAAGAGAAGAGGATTTCTTAACTGATAATATTGAGACTAAAGGTGAAGTTGAGATTATTGCGAGCATTTCTTCTGACAAAACAGTTGGAGAAAAAGATGTAAGCCGTCCAGAAAATAAACCTGAAAAAGATATAAGGCGGATGCAAAGCACGAATGAAATTGAATCGAAAAATGATAATATTTCAATTCAAGAATCAAATAAAAAAACTGTTATATGGAAAAATGAAGATTTTAAAATACTAAAACCAACAATGAAATGCGATTTGATTAAAATAATTCGTGAAGCGAATATTATATCAGAGCAAAAAAATTTCGAATTAAAAAGGATTCATTGCGATGATAATACAGTTCAACTTGCTATAAATCTTAATTTGCGTGTCTGTATGGATGATAATATGAAGAATGAACAACCACAAGTGACCAGTATTTGTTCGGATATGCATCTTCCACCAAAAAAGCGTCGATTTCCAAACATGCAAAACAATCAGAAATCTTCCTTGTTTTTAGCTCAACCTCAAACATTTGATATATTATATGAAAATTGCGAGAAAAGTGCTACAGGTAGAGCTCAACATGATTCAGGACCGATCTTCCCGAAATTTCAACCTGCAAATTTGAAAGATGCTACTGTAGTAAGTGAAGTATTAACCGCACAGGAATGTGTGCTAATAACAGGCATAGATCAGTCCATGCAAAATGGGAGTAAATGGAAATTCTCTCCAAGAAATACTGGTGATACCACGTCAATTACTGAACATAAATGGTCTAAAGAAGAAGACAGAATGATTCTTACTGCGTATAATGACTTTGATGGGATTGAGCAATCTATAATACGTTCAGTTACTCCTTTAATAAAAGGTGTTATAGAAAATGATGTTAGAAACCGTCTTCATTTCCTTCTTAATTTTTTTGATTCTATGTATAAATCTTGAAATATATTTTGCAGTGATTATTGTGATCTCACTTTCTTAATTCATTAATTCTTTTTGTTTTTAGTTGATTAGTCGACATTATATAATTATTTAATGATGTGATGTTTTTAGCGGTAAAATTTAAGGTCAGGAAGTGTTGTGTATTAGTTTAAATATTTTCATAATATTTTATCTTGTCTTGATTTGATCTCTAAAGCCTTTCAATAATAACTTTTAATAATAATAACTTTTAATAACTTTTAATAATTCCGATTCTTAGCTTCGACTTCAAACAGTTCCATAAAATCCTGTTAATATTTTGCATTGTATAGATAACTGGATTAATTGGCAATAAATGGCTTGAAATTTCTAAAATTTATTATAAAAAAAATTCCATAAGGCAATTACAATCTAAACTAAGGTTAGTTAGAATCGTGAGTGGATATGTTGCTTTGGTTGCATGGTGTATTCCATTTCTATTTTGAAAAGAGTAGAAGAAGAGCCTGTCATTAAAGGAAAATCCAAGTGGTGTTTTACTTCCATCGTTCCGAGTCGACGGGACCTGTAATAATCTAGAGAAAGAGTCTTATCCTGAGGCTAGTCAAACCAGAAATGAATGCTATTAGACAAAAGGATGCAAATTACGATAAAAATGACTAAGTAGAAAGAAGAAAATTTCCAAAATCGCAAACTATGTTGGTGTAAAATTTTATTTGCATGATTAAAAGAATTCTGTTTGTCTGCAATATCTTCATTTCCTTTGAATGTTATAATACTTGCGAGGGATTTATACAAAAGGGCGGTTAATAGGAAAGAAATTGTTGGAAGCGAATTGGCCTAAATTTTAATGAAATTTTCGATGGTCCGATTTAACTCGATGGTCCAACTAATATTATTTTATTGTTTTTTCCTTTTAGCTTCTTTTTCTTCTGGGTAATTTTTTGATAAATAATTATTTATTGTCATAGAAATATTTATATAGGCTGTTTATTCGTTGATTCCAATTTTCAAATTCCGGTAAATTGCTTCGTTCATCGAATGAAATAAATAGGCTACCACTGAGACCGTGTAATTCATCACAAAATGATAGAAAAAAATGATTTGCCCGCGTTCAAAGAAAAAGTTCCAGTTGACAATATTGCTGATGGAAAGATTGGTTTCACTAAAGTTTAAGTTTAGAATATAAAATTAGTGAAATAATTTCGTGCGGGATTGTTTTTAAAGATGCTTGCATAAATATACTTTGCGTAAAATAATTATGACCGGGAAGGTGGGGGGGGGGGGGGGGGGAGAATATGGATTATTGTTATATATAGCGTCGTTCTAAAAATCTTTTCCAGATTTCTTCATTATTGTTATTTTGTTTCATAAATTCATAAATTTAGCACAAAAATTAAAATAATCAAACCATATTGTCTATCCTTTTCACATATCATAATCCAACAAAAGTCACCACTTCTAGTTTAATGGCTGCACTGACCAGTAAGAGAGCCTTTCGGCGATGAAATATACTTGCAAATCCTCAGCACCACCAACATTTCGATCTTAAAGGCTCATCTATCATGGTATGAACATGTGATGCTTGGGCCTTAGTTGAAGCAAAATTACCTTAACCTTAACATTAAAGTAAAATACCGCTCGACTGTCCCACCTTTACCATATTATGTATAAAAGGTATAAATGTATAAATATATAAATGTACACAGTTCCCGTTTATGTTTTTTTCAGTGGATTTCCTTGTCCAATCTTTTTGTTTTTTCTCATCATTGTCTTCCGGTTTTCTAATATTTCTAATTTTCTTACAGTTATAAGTTGTAATCATCAATTGTATAAATTGTTTTCTAGGCTTATTTCTGTTTCGCTAATTTATTTTGCGGGAGAGTAATATTACCGAGTGACGATATCTCGTTTATGGCTCCTTTTCAGTATTGTATCTCGAGCGTGATGGTTGGAAGCCTTCTTCCGATAGGGATAATCTGTCATTTATTTGCTTAAATTTGCTTAGTGTTGACGACAAGTAATTCCCTGGCAAATATTTCTAGCCGTACTAATATAGCCACAGGTGCGAGAAATGGTGAGCATTGACCACATGGTGAGCACTGACCATTTAATAATTTAAACATCTGTATAAAATCTGTATTGCACACAAATTATAGCACTGGCTATCATACAGTAATACGCTAAGATTCGATCAACGATGATGATTGATGAATGATTTTTCAGTATTCGATAGTTATAAAAGAATACTTAGAAATATAATGGAGTCATGTTCGACTGAAAATAATTTCAATGCAGCGATATTTATTATTGTTATTATTGTAAGGAAAGAGTGTTGAAGGTTATTCGAAGAATCTCGTTCCTTGCATTTTTAATAATCATTACAGGATGGCACCTTCTCTTCCTTCATGATATCCCGTCAAACTTAATTAAATAATAAATAAATGACCCAAAAAATGATCTGAAAAAAAATGTCAGTGTCGAAATAAATAAATGGTAAATTATTTTTTTTGAAATCCCATTTTTTATAGCCCTCGCTCTGCTGGCTTATCGAACTGGACAAATATTCCAGGGGTCCCTTGGCGATAGAAGTATGGGTGAGTCACCAGCATCACCAGGATTTTTGGACAGGTTTACTCCTGCGGGGGGTACTACCTCAACATCGGTGCTCCGAATTAAGTAACAACTCACTGGGTCATTCTATGTCCCAAGATGGAAAAAATTTTTTAAAAAAATTTTGGTAAAAATTTTTTAAAATAATTTTGATAGTATTAATAAAATAATTAATAGTTTCTTTACGCCCTCGTTTCTATTTAAATTCGCTCTTAATTAATAAGAGGGGAATCCTTTGGCGATATAAGTATTGCCAACGCCACCAAGAGTTTTTGATGACAGGTTTACTGTTGAGTAGTAAAGGTATTTGTGGATTTGAACTATTTGTGGATATAGGGTTCTTGGATTAGTGAAATGTTTTCGTTTTTCCTTAGCTATTTTTAATTCGTTGCGATATATTTGGAGTGTCCTTAATTCTGCTGTTTGGAGCAATTTTAATATTCGATTGTCTCTTTATCAGTTCTTTCATTTATATTATAAGCCATTTGTGATTTGACTAGCTTTACTGGATTGCTAGAGTGAGAGTTTTCCATTAGAGAAATACCTACGAGTATTAGCTAGCATCCAGCAACATTCGGATACTGATATTCGACACTGAATAAAATAAAAAATATAGATATAAAAATACTTTCGATGATAAATTTACTCGTGCCACAGAGCTGAAATTGAAGTACAGTGTGCTACTCAACTTTTTAGCCCTATCTTCAACTATTTTTTTATAATCTTCTTATTAAAGGCAATGTAATGAGTAAGTTATGACTGTTTAATCAAATATATATATATAATATACGATCCGGAGATTCTTTCATTAAATTTATTTTCTTGTAAATTTGTAACAATATGCTTAATGCACTTACAAATCACGAATCGTGAATCTTTGCGAAATTTGGATTGGGACGAGTGACACCTATACGAAATCTTCGTTGAATGTTCCATTAAATCATCTGTTTCTTCCACATGGGTTAAAAATCGATGAAGGGTTTGAACTTTAGTAATCTCAACGACAAATCGTTGAATAATGCCTCACTCCATCTAGAAAAGCTAATGTTAAATCATTTGATTAAAGGTGATAAAGCCATCCATTTCTGATGATTGTTACTTTTTAAAGATCCGTTAAATGAATGGTTCATTATAACTGTTTAATCGTTGGGTGCATGGCATGAGTCCAACGAAAAGCCTATGCAACTTCTATCATCTAATGGCCTTGGATTTTATTTATATATATATATATATATTTGGCTTTATATATTATATATATATATATATATATATTCGGGTGATGCCTCACCTGTATTTCTACCGCCAAGGGGCTCCTTGGCATATTGCTCAATTGCGACAAGCCAGTGGAGCGAGTTTAACCAGTAATGGTGAGGACTCTTCATAAAAAGATATATATATATACAATAAAGCATTTGAAAAGCATTCAATGATTCAAAGATTCAGCTGTATGCTGTTTAGACAACCATGATTCGATCTCTGCCTATGGTAGAAGCAAATCTGCCATCAAAAAAATCCAAATGATGTCGGAACAATCCCACTTCTTTCCCCAGCTGACTTTTCTGTGAAAATTTCGTAATCCAGTGGGAAGCCTTTTAAGATATTGGTCGATAAATCGTTTTATTTCTACAACACTTACCATTTCTGACATGAATGATCAGGATGATTCTCTATGACTCCTTCGGCATAGAGAATAGAAGGGTCAATATCGCCTGGATTAAATGACAAATTTATTTCCTATACGATAAGCGACAAGAATCAAACTTATGCAAAATTAGCCAAAGTGTCATACATATATTGACCATCGTACTCCTAATTTTATGTGAATGCGAAAAGAAAATAATAGATATCACTAGTGAAAAGGAAGAAATCTTAAAAGTTTCGGATTTTAGATTTTGAATTTTCTATTTTATTTTGTATTCTAGCATTTATATGCGAAATCATTAGCATTTTTTCATCCACGAGGATTATTTTCGAATTGTTTCATTAAATTAAAATCATGATAAATTTTCGAATTCGACCATTTTAAACGAAATGGAATTTGACCACTTTAAAGAGAGGCGAATGGCGGTGACTCGTGAAGGAGCCTTTAGATATGTGATGTCATTTGCTATACTTATATCAGCAATATCATTATCATCTTTATGTATTACAATATCACTGTCAATATCTTATATCAACGAGTTTAATCAACGTTTTCGTAAAGATTCTACTTATTGTCATGTAAGTGAAAATTTTCAATAAATTATAAAAGTTATTATTAATTTAAAACAATTATAAATAAAGTGGAAACTACTTTATATTTTTAAAATAAAAAAATGTAGACATAAAAAAAAATACGGCAAAATGGGATTTTATTCACTATTTCCACTCACCATAAGTAATTTAATAAGCTACTGTTCATCGTTTTTTTTTGTGATCTTGACGTGCCATATTATTATTACTTTTGTTATTATCATTATTATCATCTTTATTATTTATTATTACTTATCAGTACTATTATTATCGTTTATTATTATTATCATTGTTATTATTATTCATTAAATTCATAATTAATTATTATTTTTTCATTATTTTCATTATATCATTATTTTCCTTTAAATCTTTCCTGATTTATTTAAAAATGATTGAAAAAATACTTTAACATAAATAAAATAAATTTAAAATAAATTAAAATAACAAATAATAAAAATAAATATTCTTAAAAAAACATTAAGAAAAAAATAAAAAACAAGGGAAAAACAAAGGTACTGGTTGAAGACAAGCAATAATTATGGCGAATCATTGTAATACAACGAAATATAATCTTAAGGTGTTATGATTTTAGCAATTTGAAATCCATTATATTCATTTGAATTAATAACACATGTAAGGAATGTGCAATAATCTAGAAAACCAATTATTTTCAAATTAAGGATATAATATTGGATATTAATAAAGAAATCGACAGTTTCAAAAGCATTGCTTCAATGGCAACGAATGATACAATAATACAACAGAGCCAACTGAAACAGAAAAGATTTACCTCAGATGCCACGGACAGAACACTGCCGATGCCAAAAGTTATACACTTCAGTCTTTATTAATTTAAAAATATTTTTAACGTTTTTTCACTCTGCAAACTTTTTTGCAAACTTCATTCTAATAATACTCATTATTTCTGGTTTGGTTGACTTCTCTGACTATTAAAAATGAGCCATAAAATCATTTGAGGATAGGAGTACAAATGAGTCCGTAGCATCAATCGAATTTCACTTTTATCGGCAGATTTAATCCCGTCAAGCGACTCGAATCGAATTTATAAGCACTTGAATTTAAAATAGTAAATCAGTAAAATATACCACTCTGACCGTTCTGTTCCTGATATTTCCACTAATTTGCTACAAACTGATCTAAATTTAATTTAATTTTATAATAATAATGATGGCTTGGTTCTTTTCAATTTTTTTAGTGATTATTGAAAATCAATCGAAAACTATACTGTACAGAAAAAAGAATATATTCTTAGCACTATGAAATTTTCGTTGGGAGCACGGCGATTCCTTCCAATATTTTACCTTTCCAAAAAATTCCTTTTGGGAATCCGCTCCACTGTGTTTTTTCTGTATAGTTTCAATAAATTTCCTGCCATACGGGACTTTACCTTTCCACAATATTATAGAACTTTGCGGCCAGCGTTTTCATTTTATTTTTCTCGTTGTGAACCCCTCAAACTTAGGTAATTAAACCTTTATTAGCAATGACGCAAAATATATACATGAAAGTAACGTGAAACAATTGTCCTGCTAAAGAAATAATATAGTAAATAAAATCAAACATGAAATATAAATGCCCTGCTCACCTATCGCTCCCCACTCGTTACCCTAAGAAAAGCATAAAATGACCAAAAATTATCTTTTGGGAGCTTATATTTAATTTAAGATGGGCGAGAAGATTTATAGTTTTTAATCTTCTCATAATAAAAACTACTACATTGCACCTCTCACTTATGAGGAACTCTACTATTATTATGAGATATTTTCTAATACCTTCTCCAACTCTTCTCTCCCTTCATTAATTTTTTTGCTGGGCATAGCAGGTACGATTCGAATGATCTGTTCATATTTGCACCTTTTTTCGCCATTTGGCGACATATATTGCTCATCTATGGAGAAAATTTGGGAAAATGAGGGTACTAAGATTAATACATGCATTTGCTTTTAAAATTGTGCTAGTTCAGTAGTTCTCTCAACCACTTGTTTTATTCACATCTTTTATATAAAGACCATTTAATATTAATGATTGAACTTATTGAACTATTCACCTGACGACAATTTACCATTTTAACTTAACCAACTTAAATGAACTGAAACATTCGTCAATTAATGGTTTTCATCTATTCAATAAATATGTGCTTGATATGAAAAATTATAGAAATCAAAATCGTCATGCAACTGTTGCATTCCTGGGCCTTCGGGAGCACGGGGACAACCAGGCTCGAATGGTTGGTTCTTTTTCGCCTTTATCCTATTCCATTGTTCCAGTAATTTATTAAGTAAATGGTTAGCGCGTCAATTTTAGTAAGGCTCGCCGGTTGTTGAATAACCAATTTAAGCCTAGAAATCATTTGGGAACTAGAAAAGTATAGGTAAATTTTCAGTGTCCTTCACATTATTCACAGATTTATTCAGATTCCCAGGGAAAATGTGAAGCGAACCATGGCACTCGAAATAATCTTAGCAACAACTCGGCTATTCTGCCATCCTTAGCGTTTGATTAAAATCAATATTAAAATCTAAAATATTCGAAGGATGTAAAGATTTATTTTTGCGAATAATAAAATTTTTTTAAACTTTTGCTTGTCTTTACAGTTATTTAGAGGTTAAACACTGGAAGGTTTTTTATTTATACCGAATTATAGGATTTGAGAGATGAATTCGAGGGTTTCGCTTATCGATTTTATATTATATAATTGTAATTATAATGGTATAATAGTATATAAAGGAGATAGAATGATCCATTCTCATGTTGTTTTGACTGCGGTTTGTGCACAATAAGTTTGATCTCTATCACTTGACAGAGTAAACCTGTAAACCTCTTCCTTTATTTAAAGTGAATCCAGATTGGTGCTGGGGATCTGTATTTGTGCTTACTTCTGTGAAAAGAAGATTTCCAGTTTAAACTAGGAAGAAACAGGCTCAATGAAGTAAATAAAGGAAGAAACTGATTTTTCCCATATCTCTGTAATATTTTCTTTTTCATGAGTCCACACCATTTCTAGTTAAGCTCGCCTCGCTGGCTAGCTATATTGAACGAATATTCCAAGGAGTCCATTGAGGATGGAAGTAGATGTGAATAGCCAGCGTCATTCGAATTTTTTAACAAGTTTATTCCTAAGAAGGTACAAAAAGATTAATATTTATTTATTTTTCTGGGATGAAAAATTACCAAGTGATTGAAAAATAGGAATGTGAACTAGTTGTCATAAATCATTGTTATTTTCAGGCAAGCCTGGAACACCTGGCATACCTGGTAAACATGGAAGACCTGGAAGAGCAGCCTGCATTGGTAAGTTATTTTCTGAATCGATTGATCATGGATGTATCGTATTTAATAAACAATCTTTGGTTGTGATAAGAGAATATTTTGCAATCCACAATCATGTGAATTATGCAATTTCGAAATATTTTCAAGATTTGCGTTTTATAGCGACATGATAGAACGATATAACAGATACAACATAACGCTAATTTTATGAAGGTAATCGATAAAATTCAGAATATGAGTGTAAAGAATGTCCCCAAGGGCCTCCTGGAATGCCTGGTCCGGTGGGAACAATAGGCGACCAAGGACAATCTGGTGCAAAAGGGCCATCTGGACAGCCTGGAGCAAATGGTGTGCAGGGTGGAAAAGGTTGGAGAAAGTTTTTTGATTACATTGGTATCATTTACCCAATTCACTTGCAATATCAAGCAAAAGCAATAAATATACTTGCTAAGACCAAATATTTGGCAAAATACATATTCGATAAATAACAGAAAGAAAAGATATATACAACAAAATCTACAACCTGAATAAATTCGCAATAATAATATTTTCTGGAGGAAGAATGAATCATGAAGAAACGTAAAGAGAAATGAGATATTTTAATGGGTTTCGATAGGATTTCAAAGGTATTCTAATAAAAAGGTGAGAAGAGCATTTTAGGTAAGGCGAACGAAGGCTGAAGAAATGTTTATTAAGAAAAGAAAAATGTCGTTTACGATAACAGGCTGAAGCCCAAAACTACGAGGATGTTTTGCGTGGCAGAGGGCGACAATTAAGGCAGTATTAATTGGAATGCACATCAAGTCTGGGTGTCAAGCTAGAGCGGCTCAAGCAGCAGCTAGATAGTAAGAAGGGAAGGGATTATTAACAATCTTTTAGAAGAATAAACAGAATTCAAGGTGTTGAACGGTATTTCATTTGGAATGCAAAAAACTTAGTTTGAGGCTTTCACAAAATATAATAGGCTTTCGAGTTTCATAAAGACAACATAGCCACAAAGCAAATTAAGCATAGACGGCTTACAATTTAACCATTATTTAAAGAAATACAAACTGCTTTTCAAAATTTTGATCAGCAATTGTCGTCAAACAAAAAAAGTTTCAAACAATGCAAGTGAAAGTTTCGACCAAACATTAATGAAACCAGAAAATTAAAGGTGCATATTTATAGGATTTAGAGGACCACCAGGAACACCTGGAAAAAATGGATTAGCGGGAAATGCAGGTACCCCTTCATTAGCAAGCAGCGCTATAACTGGAGATCCAGGATTACCAGGAGTAAGTTTTTAATATAAATAAATAATATAAATAAATAACTTTGATGAGATTTAGCACATGATTAATAAAAGTGAAAATCCAAAATCCGATTATTATTCTAAAATTATTTCTTTTTTACCAGTGTTATCTATTATTTTAATTCCCATTATTATTATCATTACTTTATTATTGTCGATTTTTATTTACTAATTATTATTTATTATTGTTATTTATCATTTTCTATTATTAATTATCATTATTACTACTATAATGACATTATTTTACTATTTTATTTTCATCATTATTATTATTACGAAGTTGTTAAAATGAAAAGTGGATTGAAGGAAATTCTTAAATTTAAGGAGCCAGGACTAATTGGCGATGCCGGCAACCCCGGGATTGATGGTCTCGACGGGCCAACGGGCCCTCCTGGACCCAAAGGACCTCGCGGCCTCCCAGGTACCCTTCATTCTCCTTTCTCAAAAAATATATTTTTGCACCATAAAAAATCCATTAACCCTTTACATTATATTAGTTATTTTAATAGAAATGCTCGGACCTTTGTTTTAATTTAATTGTAAGAGATTTCCAATAAAACTCGCGCTTTCTTATAATATTAAAAATTATTTTTTAGATAATTCATCCAGAATTTCTTAAAAAAAATTCATTTTCAATTTGTTTTGAACTAAATGAAAACACCCAGTGAAAAAATCCACTTTACCATTATGTCAAATTACCAGGCCATGCTGGACTTGCCGGTGAAGAGGGTCCAGTGGGTCCAGTTGGATCTCCTGGGCCACCAGGTGAGCCCGGCGCATGCCCAACATATTGCGCAATTGATGGCGGAACATTTTATCCTAAAATCCGCAATAAACGCAACCTCATGAACGATTTTATGAATTAATTTTTGTAGTGTTCTCACTGTCCTAAATATTGACGACGCTTTTAGGTATTGCCAGTAAATTTACATATTTGTCTATGTTATTCTTGTTTACACCCTCTCCTATTGCGGTGTTCTTCTTCCTGTTGTTTGAGTAATAGTTTTTATTGTATTAAAATTGTTTACATAATCAAAAAAATTAGCGACATTGCACACCCGCAACCAAGTTTTCTTCATAAATATATATATTATTGTTTTTTAAAAAAAGCAATAAAATAATATGGATTATGAGAGAAATGAAAAAAAAGAAAAATAGCCAGAAAAAATCAGTAATAAAAGTAATTTTTGATGGCGAAAAAAACAATGTTAGGAACGTTTATTCAAATAAAATAGCTCAAAAAGAAAACAACAAATTAGTGTAAAAAAAAAGAGGGAAAAACTTAAGGAAAATTTGAGATAATGTTAATTTAATGATTCCCCATTCGGAGAAAAATCAAAAATGGATGGCGATATTAATTTTCCCATTAATAAAATACCTCATCCAAACAAAAATTTTTCCACTTCATTTTTTCTTACCAGATTAACCATAAAATAGCGTTCACAATATAAAATATAAAATCAAAAATTTAAATACAAGCAATATTTCTGCTGGTGATTATCTCGAAAGAAAACAACAGGAAAAAAAGCAAGGCAGATTAAAAGGGAAACCGAACGTATAAGAGGATAAGACGATCTTCATCTTCAACACATTTTTTGTATCTACAAATTCATTTTTCTCCAGTAGTTCATGGTTCATTTAATTTTTACAAAAAAAAATATATATAATTCGCCGATTAACAGCACACTAAATCAATGCTAAAGTCTTGCTTCGTTATTTGCAAACTTCTATAATCATGAAAAAAAATTTTTGCAAAATAGAGACATAAAAAAATGAGGCCAACATATGCACCTAAAATTTTTCATAAAATAAAAATTATACTATCGTTAATTGGCCAGTTTTTGCAATCAAATCGATAAAATAGAAAATATGATCTATGTACAGACATGAAATCATATTTATGAAAATAAAATAACAGGAAAATTTATAATCCAGATTCCAAGTACATATAAACAATTTGCAAAAAACAATATAAATATCCTCTATTGAGCAGTTTATTTAAGCCACAGCTTGGACAGATCCAGCTGAGGCTGCAGTCTTACTATTTTCTACGGCACCGGAACTCCTCCGTGTCGTTACAGACTGTAAATTAGGGGTAGATCTAACCGAACCTGGTGTCAATTCGCCATTAGCTAGTGGCCTTGCTAGTGACGATAATGCACTACTTGAATCAGTTCGATTTATACAGTTAACAATACCATTTTCCAGATGTTTTTTCTTGATTGGTAACAATTCATTCTTCAATTTTTTATCGGAACCTTCATTCTCATTATCTAAAACAATATATTTAGGAAATTATTTAAGCAAAGAAAATTTAAAATCGCTGACTGAGTGCATTCTAACAATTTTCGAACATGGTAAAATAAAAAATATACCCTGTGGAAGACTATCTTCTTTATTTGAAGAGTTCATCGCCGTTTCTTCATCCATTTTAAAAATAACTTCCACCGAGTCTTTACAATCCTTTGTAATCGTTTCATCAGTAGCATTACTTGTTGATGACTTTACAGAAGATTCCTTAGATGATTTATCTTCATCTTTCACCGACTCATTATTTTCATAAATGAACTGAGCAACATCGCACAAGATACCTGATATCATAGAACCAACACGTGAATCCATCTGAAATAATGAATTAATTATAAGTATGAAATTATGTATATATATATATATATATACAATTCATATTATTATATTATTTCTTGTTAAAATCTGTAAAGCACTTGAATTTTGAAGTAAAAGAAAATAATACTTTGGTGCAGTCTATAGGACTTACTAAATGAGATATGGTGAATTGCAAAAGTCTTGATTGGTGTTTAATAAAAAATCGTCGGCATGCAGGTACTCTACAAAGATTTTGCAGAAGCAATGCTGATCTTCTCAACATTCCAATCGATGTCCCCATCATATCCGGATTATCTCGCAAAACTTGCATACCATGACTTTGTGCTACCTATTATGGAAATTATTAAATGAAAAAAATTCTAAAAAATTGAACAAAAAAATAGAATCGAAAGCAAAAATATACCAAATCGTACCTGATGCATATTCGCATCTAAAACTTCAAGAAACTGAACAAGGTTTGGGATAGCTTGCGTATCAGCAGCAGCCACGTAACATACAGGATCATGTGCCAGACACATAGCATGTAAGACAACAATCGCAAATTCCCTGAAGCAACCATTATATCCGGAATCAATAAAAAGTATAATTCTACCATTTACTCACTCTCACTCACTATTAACAAAAATTTGAAGGGCTAGAAATATAAATAAATTAATACAATTTTAAAATAAATTTTAAAAAATTCAAAAACATGGAACAATATTACAATAAAGCAGTAAATCAGAAAATTACAAAAGCCGATAGAATCAAATTTAACCTTATGTGAACTTCCTCAGTAATATCTATCAGTGAAGCTAGAACTTTAATAAATTTTTCCAAACGAGAATATGGACCAGTAGATACCAATAAATCTACATTGGACTGTATCACCGACATTTTACAAAGAGCATCCAGAGCATAATTTCTAAACGAAAGTTTCATGTCATTTAAGAGAAAAATGATGAATAATTTGATGAACAACTAGCTGATTTGATGTTTCGCATTGTTTATAATTTTTTTAAAAAACTCGATACCTTGGTGAAATTCCCGCTTGTGGAAAAGGATCTTTGGCTTCAGCACAGCTACTTACACACCAGTGAATAAGTCCATCAAATATTGGCCACGAGATATCCGAATCAAAATCGAACAAATCTAGCTGAAATAGAGCAAATTTGAACATTTAATTTAATCAAACAAAAATCATTAACATTAGTGGAATTCTGCGTAATAAAATTAAAACTTTTTATGATTTCATAAAACTATCATATATCGCCGATTATTATCAATCATTATGGAATATTAACATTTCTGGTTGTAATTTTCTAAATTCGATAAAATTTACTGAAAAAAAAATGCTAAAAATCATTTTGCTAATTTTATTAAAATAAATCATTATCATGAAAAATCAAGAAATTCCAAAAATAAAAAATTTACGGGTCACTTAAGCATTGTAAAACAATTTTTTGTTATTTTTGTTAAATTAATTTTCACGCCTTTTCAAAAATTAATTGCCCTTTCAACCCTCTTCAACAGCATGTACTATTACTCTTTATTTGACTTCTATGGCTATCAAGGCGAGATGTGTAATGGCTAAAGAACTATGACCATCAAAAGGTAAGGAATATTATGCATGTTGTTCGACTAAGAAAAAACCATTTGAGCTAATTATTCTCATATAACAAACTATAATATACCCAGAAATCTAAACGAATAAGTTCGTGAAATTAATAAATAAAAATAATTTGAACAATTTTTTATAAATTATTTTATTAATATTACAATACTAAAAAGTAACCGATGGACTCAGATTAGTTATAAATATAAAGGCATCGTCTCTGAGTTGATTAGCAGTTTCGACAAGCATAAATAAATCATCATCATCCGGTTCTAGTAGATGGCCTTGTTGCAAAATTCGACTTTTTTCGTCATTTTCCTCTTCACTTTTCACCTCTTTTTTCTGCAGAAAAATTTTGATAAAACCAATAAATATGAAAGAGACGGAGTCAAAGTGTTGTAATTTAGACGTCTATAAATAGGGTGAAATCGTAGCATTTGAGCTCAGTTGAATGTCTGATCCACTGTGCATTGTTAACCAATGCACTAACATAAGAGGTGTCAGAATTATCGTCATAGCTCAATGTATCTGAAATACCACAAAGCAGTCCTTTAATTCTCGCAATGATTTTTTATCCACTTCACCAATAAGTAACCACTTCACCGCTTGCTCGTGCATTCTCAGAGTCAATTAGAAAGTATTTTAAAAGTAAGGTCCTTTAACAAAGTATTTATCATTAATCAGAAATTAACCAAAACACCAAATACCAAATTTTTTTGAATACCAAATAATCTTCAAAAAATTTAGTACCTAAATTACTTTGTAAATAAACTTTAGACAATAAATTTGAATTTAACTAACCAAATTCGATCGAAACCGAACGATCTGCTGTTCATCAGCATATAATCGTAAAAGACGACCAATAATGTAAAGTAATCCAGGATGATGTGATAGTTCTTCGTCATTAATCGACAAAAATGTGAAGCCGCGTATTATATTCGATATTGCTAAACATCGTTTGGCCTTAAATAGAAATTATATATCAAAAGTCAATATTATATTATATAAAAATTATATTATATTAAAATTAAAATTAAATGAGTTAGAAAAGTGATATAGAAACAATTTTTTCACAAATAACCTGCAAACTGATGTGAGAAAATTGCAAAATTACCGCTTGCTCGAGGAATTCATTTCTATTACAAATCGCTGTTGGTCGAAGAACTTTAAGTTCTACAATATCATCACTTTTAACATCTCTCATCCTTTCTTGACCAATTAGTCGCATAGACTGCAAAATGAATGATTAATTAAGAAACCAACATGCATCACAAAATAATTCCAAAAAAATTATTTGCGAAAAATTTTGCCGATAAATTTCCAATTAAAACAACACGCAAAAGATGTGAGAAACTTGCTTTATCCATCTTACTATAATTCGATACAACACTGATTGTTCTTTTTCGCATAATAACTGAATCGTCCTGATAACGTGAAAAATGTCTGCGCTCGTAAAGATGATTTTTAAATGTTATATCTTGCTGCAGCTGTGACATAAAATATGATGTAGTACCATTTTCTGCAAAAGTTATTGACTGAATTTATATTTCAATCACTTTGTGCGAAGAAAATTTTTCAAATAGCATTGTGAATCTCTTCAGATAAATAACAAAAATCAACTAGGTTTACCGTAAGAATAATCCGAGACAAGATCATCGTCCTTGTTTCTTTTTAACGCATCAGGAATGCTCCGGTTTTCTACATGAACATTTCGACCTACAAATGAATTAATTAGGTTTTCCAATAAATTCGGACCATTTTTCGTGATCTCTAATTTCCTTTCGCATTAGGCCAATATCTGTAGTTTTTTTTTAGGTTGATTCAATCCAACAAATTCAACAATGGCGTACTTTCCATTTCTAGCATTTCACGGATTTAAACTGGAGGCATCAAACGACAAGAAAAATTGAAAGAAAAGTGCAAAGATGGCTCAGGAAATCCAATCGAAAATATGGACTTCGAAGATGATAGTTGACTGTTGATGGTTCTCAATTCTATAAATCAAATTCTAATAGACGAATTTTTATGACAAAAAGTGTATTCTGTAGGACATGAAATAATCGGTGCAATAGTTGGACAAGACTGAATCTCTTCAAGCCGTGGCAAAACCAAATCTTACTTTCCTTATATGAAAACCATATTAATGGAAGATGGATCTCTCATAGCTTCTTAAAACCTGTTATTTACAGCAGAGTCGTACATTAAAGAATTGGAATTCGTCATCCAAAACTACGAATACAGCAACCAGCACTGCTCAACATTCTATAGGATAACGCCAAATCGGTCACAAGAATCACAAGAACAGGAATCATTTTGCAGAAAATTCTCGAAGTTAAATAATAGAGTCCTCCTTTATCCACCACATTCCTCTGACTTTTCGCCAAAAGAATTTAATTTCATCCACTATTTCCATAACTTCCTTATTGAAAAATATTAAAAAAAAAAGAAAATTACTTTCCAGAAGTTCACTGATTGTAGAAGTTTGAACCTTTTAAAGGTTCAAACTAATGAGATAAATGCACATATACAAAAGTGTGCTTATCCTTATTTCAACGATACTCATTTTGAAAAATTTTGATTTCCGAAGTTATTGTTCAAAATGAACGACGTAAAAACGCCTAGAAGAACTGGTAATAAACGAACACTTTATCATGTTAATTTTTTCTTAAAAGTGTTCAATATTTTTGGCTACAGCTTATCTCTGCAGGCTTATCGCACCAGACGAATTTCGCAAAAAAAACGTCTTATTAAAGTGAATCGCCAGAATTAACCGAATTTTCAAAAAAAGTTTATCCCTGCTTCGAAAATGGAAATTCAGTATAGGAGTCTCGAATGGAGAGCAACAACTTAATGGATCATCCTATCTCTCACTACTATTATTATTAATATTAAGAGTTACCCGTTCTTGATGTATATGTATAATTTCTTGAATCGTTTGTGCAACTGCCGCTTACAACTACTGGTGCTAAATTTAAAATTTCCATTTTGCATACTTGATTCATAGACTCACGATCAAGGACAACTCGAAAACTTTGCCCATCTGGTTCAAACCGATTCTTAAATGAAATTTCGCAACAAAATAAAATCAAGACATGTGAAAAAAAGTTTAACAAAAACAATTATTTCACGAAAACGCAGCAGAGGAATTTGTTCAAATTAAGGATTACCTTGAATACTTCAGGATATAATATTGTTAAATATGCGTAAAAAAGTTCTACAAGAATGTTAAGTAATCCGAAACAATGTTTTAGATGAAGAGGAAATGCTGTATCATCATATAAGTAAACATTTAAAACATTGAGCGCCCAAATCACTTCGATTTCCATCCCACTTCGTAACGCCATTACGACACGATTAATTTCAGCCTTAAATCAAGTAATGGAAATTTCATTTAAAACTTTTTTAAATGTGTTGAACTGAGTGTTGAATTAAATGAATGAAAGCATGCATATTTCCTTCTATAAATGAAAAGCTGCTTCGAAAAGTAAACGAATCTTACACCATGGAGATCTTTGGCGAGAATTTTTTTCCTCTTTCTTTGGTTAATCACTGTCGCTTCAACGCTACCAGAAGGAAAATGCAGTGGCTGTGCAGCAGAGAACTGAAGCACATTCGATGATGCCATACTGGGGGCATTACCCGTGTGACTATGTACACTGCCACCAACAGCCGAACTTGAATGTCCAGAAGCAGCAACATGAGGATGTGCGCCGTTAATACCCGTTGAAGTTGAAGCCGATAAAAATGGGTAACCCGCTTGTGGTCCAACTGAATCTGCCCTTGGCGCACCCTGAAATCGCTGTAATCTTCTTCTTAGTTGGTTTTGATAACTGAATAAGCCATTTTCTCGCTGGAAAGAAATTCATTATAAGTAAAAACTAAAGAATGAAAAAGACTTGAAAAAGTTTTTATAAAAAAATACCTGTGGAACAGAAGTATGCGGATATGACGCTTGTGGAGATGAATAGTGTGAAACTGATGACACAGGTGAAGCATACTGAAACTGAAAATATTTAAAAAAACGCCCAACTATTTAAAATTCTTTGTACGCAAATTACCATACCCTCAAGCGATGAGGTCCTCCTGATGTTGGTAAATTTGAATGTGCAGGAGGCATCGGTATATATGGCCGCCTGGCTGCCATGTACGATTGCTGATTTGCTACCATGTCGACATTTGGTACAGAAGGCCGAGGAGGCACACTATAAGCCATAGGAGGAGCTGTTGATGAGGTTGCTGCATTGGAATGAACAGGTGGATACCTCTGTATTTGTTGCGAAGCCCATATCTGAAAAAAATAAAATAAAATCAAGCTTGAATGCTTTCAATAAGTATTGAAACTGAAAAATTAAAGATTTTATTACAGCAGAAATCGTCAAACCTGTTGATGATAAACACTGTGTTGTTGGTGCGTAGTCATAGCCAAATGTGATTGATAACCTTCAACATACCCGTGGACTGAAGAATAATTAGCAGAATGGGCTTGCGGAAATTGTGGATAAGCTCCAATTTGTTTCATCTGCGCTGGAGGGCCACCTGTTCTCATACCAGATGATGGGTACAATTGCTGAGGAGCTTGAGATTGGCCATAATATGCACCTGTGAATAAATCGTGAAAAATTGAATCGCAAAAGAAAAATTGATAAAAATTGATAAATGAAAAAATGATTTTCTACTATGAAAAATGATATTATTTCGTACCTCATTAAAAATAAAACAAATACTTCACAAGTGAAAAAGTTCTTTAGCTAAAAAACCAAAGTAAAAAAAAGAAAAGACAAACATACTAGACGGCTGCTGAGGTGGTGTAGTAATAGACATTGGTTGCTGTGGTATAGTTACGGAAAGAGATTGCTGCTGAGGTGCAGCAGTAGGCATTGGCTGATGTTGCGATTGAGAGACAGGTTGGAGAATACATGGAGGTGTAACTACTGATTGACTTGGTGGTCGATGAGGTACTGATTCCTCTGCTGATAATCTACTGTTACTATCTGGTGTAGCACTACCTGGAGGACCAACGCTTGGCGCTCGAGTTTGTGTTGACTCAGCCTGGAAAAAAGCAAAATAATCGAAAATTAGAATAATCGAAAATAATATTAATTTGAAACTTTCCATTGAACTACTTAAGTTAAAAGAATTTATCTTTATTTGCTCTCACCTGTAAAGATGTTGAAGGAGTAGCAACTCGTGACAACTGTTGTTGATGATGTTGATGAACAACATAAGCAGCATGTTGGTGCTGCTGTTGCTGATAGTAATTATGCCTTTGCTGCTCTTCATATCGCTGTTGTTCATCAAGACTTGATCCTTGCTGAAAATAAACATACAAAAGTGATTGAGAAAATTTTCATTTTTCAAAAAAAGTGAAGAACTTCTTAAACTGAGAAAAAAAATTATTCTTCAAAAAAAAGATATACCGGCATCATTTGCGATGGATGAGGAGCGCGAATTTGTGGTGGTGGTTGCGCTGTCCGCATGGAATGAGGTGGTGGATATACGGATGGTGTAGATGAATAATTTTGTGGTGGTGGTGCTAACCAATTTGGAGGAGGAGGCACTTGCTGACGAACTTGAACTTGTGCAGTAGGATCCATCTGATTATAATAATATGAAACATTTGGGTCATTTGGAAGTGGGCCATATCCATGGGCCGTTCCGCCTGGCTGACCTGGAGGACCTGAAAAGTTCTTCATTTAAAATTCATATCATCCATTTCTACTATTCATTAGTCTTTTAGTTATTAATATATATTAATGAAGACAATCCTGACCCTTCCTAAATTTTCCCAAATTAATTCCTCATTATTAAAATATATTAAATAAGCGGCAAAATTAAAATTAAAAACCATTAAGAAATATCTAAAATAAACAATTCCTCTCCAAATATCCAACAAAAAAATTTCAAATGATGTAAATTTTCAATGATGAAATTTTCAATAACATCGCGAAAAAAAACAAAAATAAAGTTAAAAAGCTGAAAGAAACTAATTTAATTGAATAAATACTATTCCACAAAACTTTTTTACTTCCTTCCAAATATATTTTGGATAATTTTAATACAAAATTAATCAAATAAATTCAGACAAAATAATTTTAACTCTTTTTCTTCAATTTGATAAATAGATAAATAAATAAATAACAAACCATAAATAACCAATCAAATAAATCAAAAATGTTAGCAAGAGGTGCTCTTGCACTTTTTTTTTTGCCTGTTTGAATAAAAATAATTATCTTATCAGGTTTTCCGGTTAAGGCTTACTTCATCACTTACAATCCTTATTTGTACCCTAACTTACTCGCCCTTTCTCTTTTTTCTGCTCGTCTTTTATCGAAAAAGAAAATAACGATTACAAGCTGAATCCGCAGGCTTAAGGAATCAGAAATACTTCAAAAGATTCACTTCTTTACCATCAATAACTTACAAAGATAATAAAAAACGAAAATGACCAATAAAAGCAGTCAAGGTGATAAAAAGGATAAACATATGAGCGTGATAAACGTAATCTGTTTCATAGTAAAATCTTCAAAACGAAAAAAAGTAGAAATTCACAAAAAAAGAAATTCTAAATAAAATTGATTCAGTTAATATATTGATTCAGTTAATATTCGATTTAAAAGTAGATCACACGTAAAAAATCACTTTCACCTTAACACCGCGTCCTTTACGAATATTTCTCCAACTTACTAAAAACTAAAAACTAATCAAAATAATCTGCAAAACCTCTCAAAAAAATAATGGGAAAGAAGACTTACATTGGTACGCAGTATAATTCGATAAATTATTGATATGTAATCGATTTATAGGAAAATATCTAGAGTGTTCTTGGTAAAACTGCATTGGATAATTAGTATAGTATTCCGGTAAGGTATAATTCGTTGGTGATAAATCACATTGATTATACAATAACAATTGTGATAATGTTGAGTTACTTTTGTTAAATCGATAATTAAAATGACGATGATGATAAAACAATGTTGATAACGACGATGGTGGTGACGATAAGGTGATTTGTGTTAAACTGACTCTACTGTTTCTTTCATCCATCAATAACCATTATATCGCCACTAATGAAATAATGAACTTAGGAACTTTAACTGGGACTTAAATAAATTATCTCAATGATAATACATTAATTTTAACGAAAAAGGATAATAATGGAAGAGATGATGACACGATAAGCACAAAACCATTCAATAATAGAATGTACTGCAATATGCTGCAATAGTGCAACTGCAAACTGGAGAAATACGATTCACGAATTTATGGCTACAGGTCGAATGAAAACTTCATAAATACGCAAATAAACTCGAAACAGAAAATGTATAAATTTAAATATTAAGCAATTTTAAAAAAACATTTAGCCGGAACATTTTGTTAATAAAGCTGCACTTTAGTAAAGCCGACTTTTCGAGTTCCCCTAATTAAATTATTTATTTATATAAACTAGCACGGTTTTTTCGAAAATTTTCAGCTTGCTTCATCATTTACATTCAATAGATTAATTATTTAATTAATAGGAATTAATAGGAAATTGAAACAAAATGAGAAAAGAAAAAATAGGACGGGAAAAGAGACAAAAAACAATAATTGGATGAACTAACGGTAAACCGAGAAAAAAAAACGATTAGATGAACGGATAGACAACGGATGGGCAGACGGATATGGATGGATGGATAGCACCGACGAGATGAACGCATGGCCATCAGGAATACATGGAGATGGGTATATAAGATATGTAATAAAAGTACTGCGTGAAATATTTTTGAATCGACAATCAAAGGACCAAAAAAAATACGAGACAACTATATAAATTCTATAAAAGATCGCAGAATACGAAAGGAAATAATTCATGAGAAATTATGGAAATTTCGTAGAAACGTGATAGAAAACAAAAATGAATAGAGAATAATTTAGGAATTAAAGACGAATAATTATTAAAAAAATTACAGCTGGTGGAAAGTGGAGAAAGAAACGAAGATAAAGAAAAATTAAAAGAACTAGAAAAACACGAGAACAAATACAAAAGTACCGAATTTAAAAATTATTAAAATAAAACAGATTAAATTAAGTTATTACTCTATGTTAATTAAACGAAAGGTCATTAGAGGGTCAAACACAATGAAAAGAAAGTAAAAGCAGGAAGATGAAAACCATGACTCAAATCTAGAAATTGTTATCTTTTATGAAATTATTACCAATAAAGGGAAACAGTGAAGACTTTAAGAGGAAAAGATGGATATTCCCAAAAATTCCTTTGAAGAGTAAAAATTCCATTCTCTCCACTTCTTCCTCTATCTCCTCTCTCCTTCCTTCATCTTTTCTTTTCTCACCATGAATCAGCATTTTTTAAATCAATTCTTTTCCTTTTCTTTTTCTCCTTTCTTCATTTTTAATCTTTATTTACTTTTATTCAATAGTGCTAATAATAATAATAGTAGTGATCACAATAACGATAAAGGAAACAATAATACTAATAACCTAATAATAAATAATAATAATAATGGTGGTACTAATATTAACTGGCGATAGTAATAAATAATAATAAGAAAAATTCAAGAAATCGATAAAAATTGTTGGACTTCGTCGCCGTTGACAACGAAATACGACTAGTATTAACACTACTCACGGACTGATGGTATTCAACTTAAACCAATAATGGTATTCAATTTAAACCAATATTTCAAGAAGAATTCAACCTCCCTTTTTTCAAAAAACTTCTATCCCATAAGTAATTAAAGTCTCGGAAGTACTTAATAAATCATTAGGAAATTTTCTTTTTACTCATCACTTCTTCATCATTACTGCTTTTATCTCGTTTCATGAGATCTCTTTCTTACTACCACTATTTAGGGACAGTACAATTTTGTATGATTAGAACAAGATACAGGAAATACAGGAAACTTTAAAATTTTCTCTAGAGAATAGCAAAATTTATTGAGAAAATAAGCTTACGCTTCAGAAATAAGAAGCATCAACCAATTAGTCGACAAAAATTAAGATAAAATAATCATTAACAAAGTTATATTTATTTTTATTTCTACTTTTTACAATTTCTAATACCTTACCTACTATACCCAACGACAATTTAATAAAATAGATCTTCTACCATTCATTATTTCTGCTTTAACAGCTCTACCAGTTGTTAGAACTTTTCATTTGTGGTGGCACTACAGATGAACGAGAGCCCAGAAATGCGACTAGATAAAAGAAAACAAATTATTAATAGAAGCGAGCCGAAAAGCGACACGATCATATTATAAAACATCCAAGAAAAAAACAAACCATTCTTTTAAATTTTTTAAATGTTTAAGCCTTGAACCTTTTAGGAAAAAATTTACAAAACCTGGTCCGGGATATTGCTGCGGTAATGAATCTTTCTCGCAACGCTTTTTCTTTTTCAACTTTTCAGCAAATGCAACAGCATCATTCGCATTTCTACCAGTTTCTAAGCATTCAAGTGCAAGTAAGTATCGCTGATAATGTCTTCGCAACTGATAACCAGCAGCTGATGATTCTGACATTTCTGGATTCGCTTCCGAGCATATTAATTTCCAAGTTTTATCGCGTGTCACCTAAAAACTTTGTTGCTTCACAATTCTAATATTATTTATTATGACGAAACCGAATTTGAGTTTAATATTTAACCATACTTCTTTAAACAGCATTTCACCACTTCTGGTTCGGCTGGTTCCACTGACTACAAGAGCGAAACCCTTCTGTCAGTACATAGGGATAAACGGAACCCCCACACCATATCACGTTTAATGATAAAGTTAACTCCCGTCAAGAGCCAGAAAGTGAACTCATTGGTCGAAGTATTACCAATCAACCATCCAGCCATCCTATTTAGTTAGCCATATTTTAAAATTCACCAGAAATTTTTTAACAGATGAAATAGGAGAAAATCGATTACCTGCTCAAATCCACCTCTTTGTCTAACAGCTAAATAAAGCCGATGCAGATCAATTGGTTGTTTCGATACTTGTGGCACTTGAGTTATCGGTTCATTCTGCAAATAAAGTACTTTTTTAGCATTTTTTTGTACATGCATTGAATGCATTTTCTTTCTTAATAAAAGAATAAAATTAACAGTAAGACTGAAAAAAACTGCCGAATGATATCTATTATGATAAAGTGCATACCTGAGAATCGAGAAACATAACAAGCTTCTCAAAGAAACTTCTTCTCGTTGGCATAAAAGATTCAGGATTTGTTACTGTTACTGGACCAACCTGGAATTTAATATATAGTTTCCTCTCAAGATGCAAGAGTCAAATAAAAACTAACAAGTTTATCAATTATAGATTCCTTAGATTTATTCATATTCATTGCTGGTGTCGACGAACGAACTGAACCAACTGGTGTACGCTAAAAAAAAAATTGCCTGCTTTTAATAGAAAAAAACAGTGCATAAGGAAAATCTCTTTAAATGTTCTTAATAATCTATCATCAACAAACTTGTCCTTGACTATGTTGAGCTGGTGTTCTTGGCCATGATATTGGCGATTTTGATTCATCTAAAGACTCATCGATTACAGATGATGCACCGCTTGGACTTGGTGCTGTCTGTGCTCCTGTTGTATGGCTAGCAGGAACATTTGAAGCTGTTGAAGATTGGCATGCATTTTGTTGTTGCTGTTGTTGTAGTTGTGCATCCTGCAAAAAATCAAAAAATTAAGGCAGGCAAAAAGATTTCTTATAAAACTCATTCGTTTATAATTATAATTTGTTTCTTATTTACTATTTAACAATATGCATACAATAAAAAACAATGAAAAAAAGAACGAACTTTTTGCTGTTGTATCATTTTTGCCTGCCATTCCATGTGTACACCAGGACCATTTGGCATTCTCTGTTGCAAATCCATTTGTTGCATTTGTGATGACATTTTACCACTTGAATGCATCACTCGACCAACATTCATATTAAAACCACCAAAAGCTGAAAGAAAAAAATTCTCGCAAAATGATCCCAATCTGCAACAAAAAAGGTGACAAAACCTAACATTCATAATTCATAAATTCATAAAAATTCATAAAATATATAAACAAAAAATTCATTAAATTTCACCTGGTTGAGCAACTTGTGGCTGATAATAATGCATTGAATGTGTAGGTGGATTTCCTCCTGGTTGCATGCATCGTGTTGCTTGTTGAGATTGCCAGTATCCTTGATACATTCCAGGCGGATAGCCTATAAACATCACTGATTTATATCTCGCTTTATCAATCCCACTAAAGCAAGAGAAAAACCTTTCAACAGTGCCTAAAATTACCTGGCTGTTGCTGAACCGATTGCATGCCGGATATTTGCTGATGTATTTGCGATGGTACTTGTTGTGGGGGCAAACCAGCATTAATGTGTTGCTGCTGTTGCTGAGGATGAGATAACGTTGCTCCTGTTGGCACTTTTTGTGGCACACCTGCAAGCTGTTGTTGTTGTGCCGAAGCTGTTGGCAATTGCTGTGGCTGAATTGCATTTAAATGAAGATGGATATAATTCTGTGGTGATGGATAACCTGAAATATTTTAAATATTAATTTACATTCGGCCTATATTTGACCATAAAGCTTTTCCTATAATAGCTTCACTTGGTCTATTTTAACATAAATTTTAGCTCCAGCTATTTAGCTGCTACAATTTTAATACTAGATCTAGCACTTGCTCTGCCTAATACAAAATTAAAAAATTTAGATAACCATGGGAATTCTGTGATGCATCCATACGAACTGATGATGTTGATGGTAAATGGGCTGTCGTCGTAAGAGGTATCTGCTGTTGACCAACTGATGACGATGCGCTATATATTACTTCAGCTGAATTTATACTTGATGATGAATTACTGCTACTTGTATTCACCGTTTTTTGTTTTACCTTTCCACTTCCATCATTACTACTCGTAAAGTTGCCATTTGCAATTGGTAAACTTGTTTCCTAAAAAAAAGCAAAAAAACTAAAAATTTTTTATAAAGTTCACTACTGAAATTGCCGATTATTTTCATCTTCATTATTATTCTTCTTTATTACGTGAAAAAAAATCTTTTTCATCAGAAATTTAACCAATAAATCAAATTGATGAAAAAAATTTTTTTTAATGATAAATCGGGGAAATCCCCTCCGAATTATTCGATTCCCACGACCTTCAATCCACTGGCGTTAGGCCAATTTGTATGACGTCACAGAAAATATATTAAAATGATCGTTGAGCGATTTTTTTTTTGTTCGCTAAAGAAAATAACCATTAGATTGCATGAAAAATTATTTTGCTAATTTTTAACAAAAAAATGCAAAAAATCAATAAAAAAGCACTGGTTAATTTTAATAATTCTGTCAATCGATAATAAAAAATCAGTTAAGGCAATAAAGTAATTGCTGGAAGTATAAAAATTACAAGAAAAAATAAAAAGAGCAACAAGTGGAATAATAATAAATTGGATAAAACTGATAAAAGACCGACAAATAATGTAAAAAATTCCAAAATTAAAATAAACTGGCCAAAATTTATATATTTGCGAAAATAGCTTAATTAAAAATAAACTCCAGTTCAGATCTAAATTTAAATCTTAAACCAGGTCACAACAATTAAATCAACCTGAACAAAATGAAAAATAAGAAGCCGACAAACGATTCACTTTTCTCTTCTATTACACGCCATTTCTCAGTATAAGAACATGTAAAAATGCAAAAAAATCGAATTCATATTTAAAGACTACCTTTAAAAATTGCGGATTTAGAAGAAAAGGTTCAAAACTATGGTAGAGAAATATCAGAAATATAACTCGGAGATATGAGAAAGAGGGTAGAGGAAAGGATGGAAGGAAGAGGAGAAGGAAGGAGGAAGAGGAAGGAGGAGGGAAAGGAAACGAAGAAAATTAGCAATAATGAATTCAAATTTCCCGTATAAAACGAATAATTTTTAATAAGAATTTAAATTAAAAACAATAACCTCATTTCGTCTATTATTTTCGTAGAAAATCTATTTAAAATCCATCTCAATTCAACTCTAAAAAAGCAGTAAATCTCATGGTGAGCCAAGTCACTGAAATTAAAGCCCAACCCCTCCCCCATCTTATCACCCTCTCCAACTTTCAGCGACTTTGTTGTTTATTGGACTGCTGCTGCTGCTGCTGTTGCTGACGATGGTAGTGATCGCTAGCAGAGTGCGAGGTAAGGAGAAATAGAGAAAGGAAGGAGGAGAGAGAGAAAGACGACAAAACTCGACTCCATCTAATCAAATATTTCTTACAGTTGAGGGACGCAGAATCGCAATTATCAGTGAGAGGACATCTGAAACGGAGATATTAGATGGTTAGAGAAATTATGCAGAAATTCGTCACAAACTCTCTTGGCGTTCAGAGATGAATGCACCTGAAGAGAGAATGTGGGGAATGAAAGAACATGTGGTTCGAGAAGCAAAAGAAATATAAGGAAAAATGAGCACAAATGTATGTACACACACATACTGTTGGGGTGATCCGCGCCCACAGCAACCATCAGTCATTATCGCCTCCCAATACTCAATCGATCTCTTTCCATATTCTCTCTTTCTCTAACCTATTCAATTCCCATGATCTTTGCTGAAAGCCTTTGCTGTCCGATGAAATAACCAACGATACAATTACATCGCTAAGAAAATTATAGAACATAGGAATATTTGCATTAGAGAGACAAGAACGGAATAAAAATAGTATTTAACTGAGAAAAATAAGAACTGGAAACAATAAGGAACGAAGAGAGTCGAAATGAGGAAAGACGGAAAACTAAAAGAGTGGATTACGGTATGGAGAAAAAGATTTCATTCCCTTCGTTTTCATTATTCATCATTTAAAAGAAAAAGAAATATAAACGAGAGAGGAGATGAGGGAAAGAAAAAACAATATGGAGATAAGGAGTGTACCAGAGAGCAAAATGAATATGGAAATGATGGACAAAGAAGAGAGCAAAAGTGGGAAAAGCACTTTGCCCGGTTTCCTTGCTTTTTTCCTTTCTGAATTCCCACTAATTATAGCCAGCAAATTATGGCTCAGGGTCGACCCCTGGCCCGACAAATCTCTTCCGTCTCACCTCACTGTCATTCGCTTCGATTTGAATCTGATGAGAATATTAACCATTCTCATTTACCGGCAATTAGAAATCATGAAAAATTTCTTAAACTGCATTCGCATTTTTTAAATTTTAAGCCAATTTGTAAATCTCATTTATAAATTTTTCCCTCTTTTTAGAATTTCAATACGAAAATTCTAAAAATTTTTCGATTTTTACAAAATATTTTATGTTTGAAAAAATTACTACTGATATTAAATAAATAATTTATTTAAAATATAACGAAATAAAATAGCAAAAAAACAAAGAAACCAACGTATAAATGAACTATAACAAGTGTTTCATCAATTAATTTATTAATTCACTGAAAAATAAATTCGTTAAATAATGCATTTGTCCTTATCTAATAACCAATTTTCTCACAATATGACATCATCATCAATAATTACGTCATTATCGTTAACGATGACGTCATTAAAGTCTTTCCCCGACAAAATTTATTATTGTTATTATTATTGTTTACAGTTATTAAAGTAACCATAATTTTATTTACTATTGTATCTAAAATTAAAACCACAGTTACCGATACTAATTATTGTTATTTATTGTTCTTTACTACTTATTATTTATTACTACTTATTGTTTTCGCTAATTTTATTATTATCAATATTAATGATTAAATATTACAGAAATCACTGCCATATTACGATATATAAATAAAGGCAAAACCTATTCAAAATTAGCAAATTTAAAAATGTCAAATGGTAGTTCAAATGATTTGCTAAATAAAATTTAAAAAATAAAATGTGTAAATTACGTATAAATTCCATTAATACAGAAATAAAGAAGAAATTTTGCTAAAAAAGAAATCATTTCATTTTGGTGGACAGAAATGACTAAAACCACCTCGGTTTCGTGGACAGTAACGATCAATAATCACTTATGGAGAAAGTAATGGGCCACTAGAATATTTATAGAGAGAATGGAAGAAATAATGTACGATAAAAAAACAAAAAAATCACGAACAAAAAACTCCTCGCTCTACTAAATGAACCACTTAAGGATATGTCCATCTAACAGAAAAGTAAAGAAATCAATAAGAAAACTTACTGAAAAGTTTGGCTGTTGAGCAATTGCTACTGGCTGTTGCTGCTGTTGTGGTTTAGTATTATAATTATGGGTCGTTTGATTTATATCTGAACCTATAACAACAATGTTAATGAGCCAGATTTAGAAGAAACTTTCTAATTTCTTATCTATTTCCACTTTTCCAGTATTCTTGTTTTCCCACACTTGCGCCACACTTCCAGTATTTATTCAATTTATTCTTTTTTTCGACCAACAAATTGTGCTAAAAAAATAAAAAGTTCCATAAAAAAATTTCTACTTACGCAATAAATTATTTAAAATGGGAGTTGAAACTTGTTGTTGTTGCTGCTGTATTTGTTTCTAAAATAAATATTAAAAAAAAGAGAAATTCGCAAAAGTTAATGTTAAAATTAGATTTAGTCCCATCGAACTGTACCTCACTATGAATAACAACCAACGACAACCAATAACCTGCACCTCACTATAAATAACATAAGCAACATGAAAACATCCTTCAAAAATGGTACGTTACAACATCGTTTCTTTTTCTATTAGCACTCAATATTTCTAGTTTGGCCGACTCCAATGGCTGAACGGCTGGATACCGCCTAAGTGGACAATTATTCAAACCGTTGAAAGACAAGAGATCGGCTCTTTAGAAATGAAGCTGTTATTAAAAAAACCTACGTTGGGCTAGCAGCTCATTTGTGCTCCAGTAGTTAAAATTCCCTTCTAACATCATGTGGAGCTAGTCTAACCAGAAATAGGCACTAATTATTTGTTTACTGACTATTAGGATAAAACCCTTATCCTCTTGTGGAAAAGAATACACGTTGGTATTCACCGTTATCAGGTATGTGTTGCCCAAGTGCACATATAGTATATATACATACCTGATCCACTGAAATTTCATCACAACTATTTGAAGGTGCGCTAACTTTTTGCGCTAAATTTTCTGACCTATTTGAATTTGACATCCTGAAATCGTAAATTTTTTTTAGTTTCTGCCGCAGCGATATTTATAAACGATATTTTAATGTCAGCGGTATTTAAAAATAAATCCACGTAGTTAGGCTATCCAACCTTTTCACAATTTTTCTCGTTTGTCCCCTTTCTACCTTTGTCTTTCCATCTCCCAGCCTCTTACCACGTTCATCTTAGCCTTAACCCAATCTCTCCATATAGGCTTATTCTCTCTTTTAGATCCCAAAGCGATTCTTTTTCTCCCCTTAAACCATCGCTTATTTTGAAATGTCTATAGCATCACGATCAAGCCGCATTTTAGTGGTTCGTTACTACGTTCGATTCTATTAAAATGATGTAAAATAATTTATTCTTGAGAAAAATAAATGTCAAAAATTAGCTTAAAATATAAATCTAAATATAATAATACAAAGCAAATGCGAAAGGTCTGCTCTATCTCGTTTCCTTTTCACTTCGACTCTTTCTTCCAGAAACCCAAATTTTTCACCACTATGGACCAAATAGCCAAAAAATATAACATTAATGAAACATAAAATCGAATAAAATAAAATTGTTCTATCTTTCATGTTGACTTCAACCACATTCCATGAGCTAAACAAAAAGTGGCTGCTGATATTTTCTGATAATCACTTATCAATAAATATCAGCTTCTGGTAAGAAATAGTTTAACCTTTCTTCCTCATTTATTCATCGACAATTAACAATGGAAGAGCATTTTAATATAAAATTACAGCATATAATATGACCACAAAAATATAACAAAGAATGATAATAGTAGTTAATGAGTTCTTTTACCTACTTATAACAACAATATTTCTGGTTTGGTTGGTTCCACTACGATGATACGCTTTTTTCGTCAAAAGAATCAGAAGATCTGTTAACAACA